TCTTATTGTTTTCCACTATTTTGTCCACAGGGTGGGAGTGGTGCAGTGGCAAGTGGCACTCATCGTTCTGAGTCAAATCTTGAACCCTGCTCCATTCAGGCCAATCAGGCCTTCCATCCGTCCGGGTTTAGCTGGTTGGTACCAGACTTGTCTGGGTGGATACCAGCAGTGACTTGAAAATCACCTGTCCCACGCAGGTCATTGTACGGACCAAGCCGCATTCAAAATTCGACTACGATTCTTGAGTAGAAGCAAAATGCATGGCGCATCCTCAATATTACTTGAAGTTCATGTCATTCCATTGAGCTCACGAAGGAATTTTTCTGGTATTCAATTGGAAATATCCTATTACCTCCAAATGAATGAATGAATAGCTCAATAGTGACTAGAAGTAATTACGAGGACCGAAGAATGTTGGAAAGATCTAACGATCCATGAACAAGGAAAAACTACTAACGACTTGTGATGCTAGCACATACACGGAGGGCCGTCTGCGTTTCGCTTGTCCTCCATGCTATCTCGTCGTTTCTTCCGCCCTTTCAATGCACGGCGTCTCTCCGTCGTAGAACGTCCACTCTGCAAAAAAGAGATTCGTATTTTTGAAGGAGGAAGTCTTTTAGCAAGTGATAATGCTTGCCACTTTTGCGCAAATACAGAGGGCTGTCTGCGTCTCGCTTGTCCTATATGCTATCTCGTCATCTCTCGTGTCTTTTTTCTCCCGTTTCAACGTCCAGCGTCTCTGCGTCGCAAAACGTCCACCCTCGGAAAAGAGTTTCGTAAATATAGTGCTCCAGTGATTTCTTTTCCTTCTCCTTCGGTGCACCTCTTCCTTCGTTTTCGCGCACAGATACTTATGCTCTTTGAGTGTTCCCTCACTTGGTAAGATCTGTTGATGTCATCGTAGCTCTTTTAGAATTGGAGGCTGTTCTTAACTCGAAACACCGTGAGCATCTCAGTGGAAAGAGCGCTACTTATTGAAAAGCTAAAAGGGAAAGAGCGTAGGCGGTGAGTGGCAGTGATTAGAGTAGGAAATTGAAAGGTCGCGTTGTTTACGTGCCTTGATCACGCTCTAATCCGAATTCCAATAGCTCTGCACCTCATCCCTAATGCTGAAGATCTGTGGTCGCCATAAGGAGGATTATTGTCGCCAGATTAATCTCCCGTAGGCCAAATGTTATCGTATTGAGCCCGATGCTGACAAAGAATGAGAAACTTCCGCTTCTTGCTCACTTCCTGCTCAACCTTCGCCGATTTGGAGGCTGTCGCCTGCTCAGGTAGAGCCAGTACGTCTGCCGGATTTGCAGTCACCTCTTGGCTCAGGAGGAAGCATACCCTTCCTAGATAACTTTCATGGAGGTCTCATCGAAAGTATGTTCGCACCCCCGTGTGTCACAAAAGAACGACAGTACAGCGGTAAGTTATAAAAACTTCATTGGCACTAATTAATGCCGCAGTGGCAAATTTGGCTCGGTTTTTGACAAAATTCGCCATGACATTGGACGATTGTGGCGCACAGCAGTGATAAGCATCAGGCCGGTCAAATCACAACTATTGGGTCCCATAGAGGTGAAATGTTTTGTTGGCATCAGCGAGACTTGATTCCGTGAGTCGCTGCATTGGCTACTTCTCTAGGAGCAACGTCGCTGGCAATTTTCGGCACCAGCCACATTCATACAGACCGTACGTGAAAGGATAAAGGATAAAGCATTTGCCGTTGATCAATCCCTTTTTGGGATGCGGCACGCATTCTACTTCCATTTGTACATTCGTAGTGGCGTTTGAATGCGATGTGGCCTATACAATGACTTGCGGGGGCCAGCCGATGTACAAGTCAGTGTTTTTATCCTCCCAGACAAGTCTGGTACCAATTAACCGACCCCGGAGGGATGGAAGGCTTGGTTGGCCCGGGCGACTCACGACCCAGGATTTGATCCCCGGACCGCTCGCGTGGTAAGCGTGCCACTTGCCACTACACCACTTCCGCCCCATACCAGCGTCCGGATATTTGGAAAAATAGGAGATGGAACGGCTAGATGCCTATTGGTTTTTACGTCAAGGAAAAATGTTTTGGGAAAAAACGCTCCTATTAGGCAGAAGATAGCCAAATAAAGCAATTAAGACGGATATGATCCTTTTTGCGGTTCATTTCGTCCTCTTATTCCCTAATTTCCTGCTAACGACCTCCGTAAATACGTATTATCCGTCATTTTCGCAGGATTCCACACTCCTGAAACATGAACAATGAACGGCGGTCTAGATAGAACCTATAAAATACGAACAGTGGGGTTACTGGCGGACGTATTTGCGAGCATAAGGGTAGCAATCACTGCAATTATATAAATTGTATTTCCTGTAAGTTGTCAAGTTACTGAGAAATCTATCTACCGTTTTTTATGCCAGCGGCAATAGCAGTTCTCGGAAACGTCATCACTTCCTCTTTCTGAGGCAAATGGATCTCAGAGGTGTCTGTGCCGTCCTCGCCTTCACGGTTTGAGTTTCAATCGCTAGAAATGAAAAACAATCGTGTTTTTCCCCTCGCAGGCTTGTCATCGTGGAGTTGAAAACGACGAGAGCTTTTATAGCATCGAGCTACTTTTTCTCTGAAATTCCAATTAAATTCTCGATCAATAGCTGCGTTGCCTTAGGCAAAAGTACAGGGAGGCTTTTTCGTAGGTTTTGCTAGAGCGAAGGGGGGGGGGGGAGCAAGCAGCACTAAGTTTCATGATCAGACGGTGGAAAATGAGTTTTTATCGCATCATTTCGGCCTCTTCAATTTTGCAAGAGTTTGAAAATCAATATATTGATTTTACCATGGTTGCTGTTTGCCTATTTTATGATTTCGTCCTTTTTTTGAATTTTTATTGATTTTCGCTGATTTTTGCGCCGTCAGTTCTCATTTTCTTCTAAGCCCTATATGCTACTGATTTACCGGTCACTCTCCAAATTCGATATCCGCCAAAAAATCAATATATCGATTTTATCTTGAGCCTGACTTACTTTCTTGAACTCCTCCGCATTCGTTCCTTTACCTGTTTTTTTTTAATTTTAGCGCTTGAATGTCTTATTTACAGATATGCTATTTCACTGCTTCATTTTCATTGAACGCTTAGCGTTCCACCCCAAAAATTTTCCAGTTTTTTTCTCAAGTTCTACCGTATCTTACAATTTTTTTACACCAGGGGCTCCCCTTCTGCTTGTCGAGTGTTGTCGTGGGCGGGGTCTGGTAAATGGAATGTGTGGGACGTAACATTTCTGTTGTTCAGCATTTATATCTGCTGATGTTATGATTGTTCTGACGCAAGAGGAAATCTATCTTTGGCCACGTTCCAAGGCAACGCCCCCATATGTCGTGCTTCCAGGCGTTTCCCCTCAGAAATCATGTTTAATTTTGTGATTGATCTCTTGTTGCTACGTATTGATGAGTTCGTCTTTCGCTCTTTCGTCTATTGATCTATTGATTGATTTCATCTGAAATGCATTCTAACATCTGTTTCAGAATGTCTCGGATCGGTGTATTTGGCCAGATTTCCGAGATCACCGACCATCTGTTTCTGTCCGGTGCCGGCTGTTTGAAACCGGAAAAAATCAAACAAAAACGAATTGTTTTCGTTGTGAATGCCACAACTGAAGAACCGAACTCGTATATTCAAGGTATATCATTTTTCATTCAAAACTAAATTATTTCAGATCAAAGAATTATTAGGGGTACGGAATATCCAACGCCCAAAATTGATTTCCGGACTCCATGCTTATGCGCCGTGCTCCTTTTTACGTTTTCTCTAGCATCATCCGCCTAAATAATTCATCCAGATTAATTACGTAGTGTACTAGACAAATTAAAGAAGCTCTTCTGTCTTCTTGTCTAGAAAGGGTGCTTCTTTACTTTTGCATTGAAGGCATGGGTCTTGGTCGAATTGGTATGTTACGATGTTCGCAAATCGGACGAGAAGTGAAGGACGTCACTGAGAAGGACGTCACTGAAGGAAAATAAGCAAGAAAAGCCTCCGCTAGAAAAATACTGAAATTTTCGTAAAGACGACATGCGTGCGAAGCGGGAAACACCTGCGCCAGCGGGGAGAGGCGGAAATCGGAGAGCAAAGGTCACGTCCTACGCGAGAGAGTGCAGACGTATCGTATGCTGCGCCTGATAAGAATGGCAGCGACCGCAGCGGGCGAGCTAGCTCCATTCCCACGCACCTTCGAATGGCGGCATTACCACCATCGCTGTGAATAGGGGACCCGCTTTCCACTTGAGAAGTGAATTTTTCTAAGGATCATCGCGGCCCGTACCTTTAGGGTTAATGAACGTCCTCCATATATGTTGTTTCCTATTAGATTCGACCTACGCGTGCATCAAATAAATCGCTAAATACCAACATTCCAAAAGCAGTTTGTTTATAACTGAGTTGAAATTAAAGGCACAACCCAGGCAGAGGTCGTGTGAACTCTTCTCTTCGGTCAGAAGTATAGAACCCTAGGGGACAATCACAAATGTGGCGTTCACGTGCACGGAATTCGACCGACAAGAACGCTTTGGGCTTGCAAAGTAAGCTGCTCGAGCTGCAGCGAACGAGCTCTCTTATCAGGCCGTTGTCTGGTGCTCTCTCATCTGATGCGCTCTCTCGCCCCATACTCTCCTCTTCGCGCTTAGTCTCTCGTTCCTTTAGCACAGCCAATTAGGAAGGTGAGTGAGCCCTCAACCTGAGCGTTTTCGACGGATTCTTTTCCTTTTTTCTTCACTGCCGGCCCACTTGGCACCGATACATTCACATTCGTGTGCAAGAGCCACACCAGTGCGATCCTGGGGCATGCCTTTAAGTCCGTAGTCTTTCTGAGGTCAGATAAGCACTTTCTTTCTTGTTTCTCTTTTCTCAGCAACTCACATGACCATCAGATAGTCAGATGGGATGGCGGGGTTGGGCGGTAATCATGGCATGTTCGCGGTAAAGGCAGCATGGGGTATCGTAATGGATGTTAATTGTCAAAATAAACATTTTTCTGAACTCGATGTGCTTTGAAAATGAGGTAAATGGATACCTGGACAGTCAGTGTGAGAAAGATGTTAGAAAGTCGATTCGTCGTAGGTTCAAAATAAGTTCAAACTAAGCACTCTGAGCCTTTCTGCTTATGGAGAAGGTAAGTTAAAAAAAATGGACCCATGACCAATGATCGCTCAGCTGCGTGACCTTCTGTACCGTTCGCTGCATCCCTTTCAACTTTGGGTAGAAATCGGAAGCGTGGCGCACACCAAGGTGCTCAATTGAGAAAGTTTATTTGGCCCACCATCACTTGTGACTAATTTCAGTGGGAAATTTTGCATAAAGCAGTCGGAATGGTGACCGGGGATGGGGATATGTATTATGGTTTGCTCCTTCCCAGCAAACAGTCTTACTGGTACGTTACTGCGCGATCCTGAAAAACTTGTTGTTAGATGGTCGGGTGCCTACTTCCGCGAAGATGAAGCCTGAGGAAAGGTCGGACTTCTTTGCTCTTGGGAATTGAACAAAACCGCACATGAATTCGTACAACTGGCAGTTCCGCCCCACAAACTTTGCGCTGTACTTTTGAATGTGTGAGCTGCAGTGTTTCACAAAATGTGAAGGGGATTATAATTTGTTGTTTTGTCGGAGTTGTTTTCGACGAATTTCAGCTGTTATTTAGCTTCACGAACACCTGTTTCTTGAAACGTCGCATATGAATCGCTGACAGCTGTTTTAAGTTATTTTCATCGTATACGAAGTAAGCGGAAGCGTGAGAAGAAAGTTTGTGGGAAATGGGATCATCGCAGTTGAGGAGAAATGTAGTGAAAAAGAATTAAGAAAGCGCTCTTCAAGAAAACCGCCAAATCTTATCAACTTGAAAATCCGTCCATTTTGAGAAAAGTTATGGTTATTTGAGCAACTGTTCATTTTTCAATGTGTTCCTCTAGTAGATAAGCTGCTCCAAAGTCAATGCATGCTTTGCATGCGCAATAATTTCTCTTCACAGGCCATCTGTACGCAGAAAAGAGCTGGACATGGCAACCTTGGTTACTGGGGTGGGGTGATGGTCATATCTTGAAATTTTCCCCTATGTGCGCCTTGTTTAACCCTGCCTACTACCAAAGGTTTGGTCTCTGGACCGTGCGGTGGTCATAGCGCCACTTCCAACTTCCCCACTGTCGCCATACCTGGTATACTACGAATAGTTGAGTGAGTAGCCCTCCAACTTCCTCAGCAAATGAGTACCGAACTCCGGTTGGAAGGAATTATATTAGCTTCTATAGGGCTTATACCGCAGAGTATGCAAATTAGTTGTGGCAGTTCGGTGCCCGACAGGAGGCCCGGCGCGGCGACAAGGCAGAGACGCAGATGGATCAGCGGACGAGTCGCAGTGCGTACTCTAGCGATTTGGCGCCAAGTTACATAGAATGTACTATATTACTTCCACATCAACAATACGCGCTGCGACTCGTTTGCTTACCCGTCTGCGTCTCTACCTTTTCGTCGCACGACGCGCCTCCTGTCGGCTACCCGTGACACTAGTCGTTACACCATATTCACTCACCAAATTGGTTGAAATCCTTCTTTGTTTTCCCTATTCGTCTCTGGTAATGCAATGGCTCCTATTTCAGGTGTTGAATACATGAAAGTTCGGATAGATGATCATCCATATGCCCGGATCCAAGACTACTTTGATCAAGTCGCTGACAAAATAAAAGCTGTCAAGGTGAGATTATGGGCATCGATTTATTGATCCATCATATCCTCCACTAAATTTGGAAATCAAGGGAAAAATTGTAGGATCGCGGTGGCAAGACACTGGTTCACTGTATGGCAGGTGTGTCTCGCTCAGCTTCTTTGGTGATGATCTACCTCGTGAAACACGAACGGATGACGTTACGGCAGGCTTATCACTACGTTCGATCAGCACGACCAGTGATACGACCTAATGTGGGCTTCTGGAAACAGATGGTCGACTTTGAAAGGAGACTGCGAGGTCAGTCTTCATGTCTAGGTTACGGTAGCCTTTTTTGGGCCCTAATCATCGACTTCTGTGTTACGGTTTTTGTTCCATTTCTGAAGCCCTTGTAGGATGCGCATTAAGGCAAATTCCACGACGAATCTAGGGAAATAGATCCCATTCATGACTAGCATAGAGCCATCCACACATGTTGTGATTCTACCGTTTTGCGCGTGAATAGGTGCGCT